TATTTCTCTTGCTCAAGGGATTCCCAGCCATAGGCACTGATTCAGCACAAGCTCTGCTGAGCTCGTTCTCAGGGCAATCATTAGCAAAAGTCYTTTGAGGATCCATCACTGCTCTGTCAGTAGCATGAGTTGAGTAATAAAATACAACATTAAAGGTGGTTTAAAATACTGTTAACTTCCCTAATCACTCCTTTCCATTTGCTTGTCAATTCCATGGATGGACATCCTTCATTTCTGGATCATCTTTATTTTTTTTCCACTGGGGAAGATACTATTAACTTTCCTCTTACCTCTCAGCTGCTTCTTACATATTTCCTCCTCAGGTTTAACATCAGTTTTGGGATCAACAAGAAGAGCTCTTTRTATTTTTATCAAGMACTGAAATRGCCCACACGAAACAGGAAAAGAAAGTTGTGCTAGCAAAAGCATATTTGATAAAATACTATTTGAACAAAGCACTTACAACAGCTGGAGTTCTAGGAGTAGAAAACTACAACCTCACACACCAGACAGTACAAACATTGTAGTATTCAGCATCACAGCACCAAGCAAGAAATACTGAGAAGAGAGGATTATAGCCAAAATGTTCAGATTATGGCATCTAAAGGAAAAAATTTAGGGAACAATCAAGGTTCCTAATCATAATTGTCTAGTGTGATTTTACACTTCCTCTGATGTTCCACTTAGCTTTTAGTTGCTACAATGGTGCTCTGATAGCCACATTCATGAATKCCAGTCCTGGATATTTTAGGATATATAAAATGACAGCAGAAAACTTGATTTACTCTTCTAATTTCAGATTTGGCCATACAGGGTAGTTTGACTTTTTCAGAGGTGCTGTTACTACCAATGAAACTCCTTTTTTACGCTTCACTTTTGTTTTGCAGCTTAATGTAAAAGGGATGAGAAACTACTAAAGTTTCTATAAACATGAAACAATTAAATACTGCGCTCAACTCATGTAACAACTCCAAGCTGTGGCACATGCACCATTCTGGCAATATTTACACTGATGAATATTAATGTTGCTGCTCTCCTGATTGCTGGTTTATTCAAAAAAATTAAATAAGCCCATTGCAAGTTAATGCCTAAACCTTTCCTTTTYCTGTTTTGATACAACAGGCCAACTAATCCATGAGTTATTCACAYACTTTTAGTTCCAGATAATCGAGCAACAATGCAATTTGCTGAGATATCTGCCCCACACAGCTGTGCAGCAGCTGGGGAAGTGCCTGCAACAGCTAATATGGCTCTGACACCCTCACAAATGGGAGAGGTACACCCATCACCAAGAGCCTTAATGTGTTTTATCAACATTGTTAGGCAAATGCAGAACTCAGAGATTGAAAAGTAGCTATTAAAAGTGGGAACTAGCTGCCCAGCATGGCCCAAGGAAAAGGTAAACATGAGAATCAGGCACTGAGCACATAAGAGAATTGAAGCACCCCCAATGGAGTTAATTTCATGTGCATTTAGACACCTGCAGTGKGAACACCTGCACCTGAGCGAGTCACCCAAGGCTGCTTTGGTAGGCAAAAAGCAGAAAAAGGCACAAACCGCTTAAGCTGTTGCAGACTTTGGCACCAGAAACGGCAATGGAATGGTCKCTGTTCAGCTCACATTTAGTCAGACAAATCCCACTCCCCAGGAGGTAAAAGCAGCAGACTCCTGAGACAAAGCTGGTTCCAGTACACCCCAGGGCAGAGCATGGTCAGCATTTTGCAGCTCCAGACACTGCACAAGGAGTTTCCAGAAGGAACCAGGGCATTGGCAAAACACATCTTTTGGATTGTCCTTAAGCCTCAGCTCTGGTGCCACCTGCTCCTCTTATAGGCATAGCTCTTTAGACAAATCTTTGCATCCAGACTTCAACACCAATATAAATATCTAAATTACCATGTAATTAGTCAAAATAGAATTGATCACAAACTTCTTTAATGAAAACACTTGATTTTCTTTTTCCTTAGGTCAATAACAGTCGCTATGCACAGTAAAAAAGGTTTTATTTTCTAAGATCAAGGTTAAGGAACTTTGTCAGTGGTAAAAATAGCTTTCTAACCACTCACTCAATGGCACTAACTGCACWGTATTTCGTGCCAGCATCTTGAAATTTGAGTTATGAATTATTYCACGGTCAAAGAGATTCCACAATTTCATATTCCATTCCTGTTTATGCAGGAAAACACTCCCCCTGCCTAAGAGAAATTGCAACAGAAGCTGCAGTACCTTAATTTTGTTAACTTTACATGTGACTAATTGCTGGATAGACTTCCTGATGACTCTGCCAAGATGCTGTGTGGCCCAGGAGGCTGGCAATGCTCCTGGGACATCATGAGCCTACTTCCATTTCTACAATGCCCCCAAGAAGCAGCCTTTCTCCCCTTCCCTCAGAGGATCAGTGGCTCCCCCTCAGTCCACCTGCAGAACAGCTGCAATCTGAATTYCGGACCAATATTTACTAGAAATCTGGTGTTTCATTTTATTTCTCTCAACCCATAGCTTGATTCAAGCTTGATGCAGAAACCACTCACTTGGATGCCTTAAAACATAAGAGATTCTGGGTATTCAGTTCAATCCAGTTCAATTAAAATCTTGAATACAAATTGACCTATCCATTGCTCTTCAGGATTTGAAACAACATCTTTCACATGGGCTGAGCACACAAACAACTGMTGAGTGTCAGTGACACATGGATCTCTTTCCACCCTGGAAAAGCACATAAAAGCATTTTCAAGTTCAATATTCAAGCTGTGAAGATTGGCTGATGTCAATCCCCAGCCAGATTATCTGTATAATTGTTTCTCAGCACAATTCTATCTCTGTAAAATGGGTTTTATCATGCCTTCATTTCAGAGGAGTGACATTTCTGCAGTGAAAGTAACACCAGAATGTTATTTCATCACAGTCAAATTCTACAGTGAGTCTTTGGAGAGATAAACTTGTTTCAGATGTTGCACAAAACTTACTGCMACAGTGAAGATAAAACACTGTACTTACTTCTCTTACACTGGGGCTGTCCATCCAGAAAGGGGATAACAGGAACCTGGTGAAAAGAAGTATATGATCATATTAAAAATAGA